TTCTCTGGTCAAACATCTGAATTAAAAATAATAATATTTAAAATAAATAGCCACTGGCTGTGTTCGGGGGAACCTACATTATGTCGGGGGTGCATGACATTGAATGGCTGATATCCAATTTGTTGCAAAAGCCGAACATCAGCTCAGTCTGAGTGAAACCATCTTTATACATGTCGAGAATATGATTATGTAAAGCTGCAATAAAGGGAGAACAGCAGAGGGTCGGTTTCTTAAGCAGTGCGACCGTTTAACCTTCTTGCTTTTCTAACTCATAACCCTCTTGTCTTTGCCTCTGGTTGTGGCTCGGCCCTCAGATCCCCTGAAGTGTCTACTGGATGTTCTCCAGGACCTCTAAAGAACCGAGTCCAGAGCCGACTAGACCTGCTCAAACCCAAGGTAACGTGGGCCCCTTCACCCAAGAGCCCCAAAACCAAACCATCAGTTACTTCAAATTGAATCAGATGTACAAACATTGAAAATAATGTCTTTACATCCTGTAATTTCTCCCTGGTATTATATTATTTATTTGCTTAGCTGAAGCTCACATCTTAACTGACTTCCACCGTTCCCGTTTGCACAGCTGTGTTTTAGCTTTTAGTTTTGGTTTGAGGGCGCCGTTCAAATCCATGGCATAAAACGACTTATTCGTGGGGGATTCAAACCATTAACCAGTCCTGATGATAAGTTATCCTATTGTCAGGGCTCAGGTCAATTTGCTCGCAGTGGCGCAATATAACGCACTGTGTATCTGATATCAATATCTCTTCCTTCCTTCTTGGCTGTGAGCTCAACTGCTCTGTCTTTGTTCCTTTATGTGTTTGAGGGGTCAGTGTGACAAAATCTGTCTCATTATGATGAGACAGATTTTATCGGCAAAAGGTTTTGAGTGTACCGACTTTACTGTTTGTGTGCTTTTTGTTGTTGAAATTGAATCTGTATTGAGTGAAGAGGATTATTTAATCAGACTCTTGATTTACAACCCGCAGTTATAACATACACTCAGCGGTGGAAAGTAGCACATTTACTTAAGTACCATTTAAGGCGTTACTACTACTTGATACAGTCCAGGTAATTAAGAAACATTGTCGACATTACAAAGTTTGTCCACCAGAGAGCACAGATGCATCTTGGCCACAAATGTTTTAAAAGGGAAACTTTTTGCATAAAGTTGTATAAAGCCTTTTGTGGCTGCAGCAGGAGCTGCAAGAAGGCAGATAAATTGCCTCAAGTGATGTCACTCGAGTCGACGTCTGAAGACTAAAAGTTGACAATGACGAAAAAATTATGTTGGCGTAGAGCTAAAAATAAGTGAGTTTACCAAAACTGCAGCTACGCTGCTCCTCTTAAAGCGCTACTAGCACAAGACACCGGCATCTCCGCCCAATCTGTCAGTGGTTGGGTTGCATTGTGGGTAATGTAGGCACCAGGGTTTGACGAGGAAGAATTAAGCGCGGAATAAAAAAAAGGCAACGTCTTTGTTTCTGTCGCATCGATCTTTTTTTTTTCTTTTTTTTTAACTGCACAGGAGTGCAACACTACTTCTTCCACCACTTGCAACCACACAATTGCCGAGTCACCCAAAAAGCACTGACGAGACCAGCTTTAGATTTTAAAGGCAGGACTGCTCTTTTAAACACGAAGCAGCTCCGCTGTGTGAACTCCTTTTGAACATGTATGCTAAACACATTTTGTGAAATGGCCCCTTTATTTGATTGCGCTAGCAGATGTCATTTTAGCTCCCCACAATCTGGCTGCCTTCCTGTTTGAGTGCGCTGTAATGGTCTCTGGGCAGCTCACCGCTTCCTGAACTCGGCGAGCGGAAGCTTTCTGCATCAATTTCACTTTGAAGATGCCATATCAGTCGCGTAATTCGACTAGCAAGGGAAACTTGAAAGGTTATTGTTTCCTGTTGTCTGCCGAATGAATTTATCCCAGACTTCTCCGGCAGTTTCATCATGCGCTGACGTCAACTGGCACACACACAGATGGACTGATTTGGGACGTTTCCAAATCTTTGTCTCGGTGCCACAAACGCAGACATAACTCTGAAACAATTTAGTCTCTTCTGTGACGTCGGTAATGACGTTTGTGAAAAGATGCATCGACTTTATTTCATGATTGTATCAGTCTCTGGGGGTGATCATATAAATGGGGCACCTGCTCTCACTTCTATCTACCTGTGCGTCGAGACACAAAGCTGCAGGATTTGCTTGCACCTGTTTTTGGAAGTTACTGTCAGGAATGTCTGGGTCAGGTGTCTCCGGGTCGGGCGGTGTGCAGAGGGTATTTCGGGACAGCCGTCTTCGGAGGAATGAGGGCTGTCTGACCCCGCGGTGCCATGTTGCGCTCCCACGTGTTGTAATTGGATTAAATGTTACCCCGTCAGTCATAGTTTGGCCGTGTTCACTCTTCCGTCCCCTCCCATTGTTTCACGGGTGTTTCAGATATGTTTTATCAGCATGCAACCAGGGCAGCATACATTTTCAGCTCCATTATTGAAGTGTGCCTAGTTCTTAGGGTTGCTGTTGTTTTAGATGCTCTTTTAAGAAGTTCTTTTGAAAAGCACAAAGGCTTTGATCCCTTTGTGCTTTACAGACCCACCCAGCTTTGCTCGCTGTATTTTTTTCCCTCCCTACCTAGGCCCTCTGGCCTGAAGGGCGAAATCCCTGGATTGTGATAATCTCAAGCAGGCGTAGATCAAACAGATGTTGAAAAGCTGTGGATCTGTGTGCTCTGGGGGCCAGGATTGTAGTCTTTAGTATCATTCACTTTGTTATATCTAGGCTCTTTAATGAGGTGCTGCTCTACTGTCTCAGCCTTGTAATTGTGATAAGATTGAAGAAAACAGTTACTCTTGTTTAAAGTTGGACTAATGTATGATTTGTCAACCTCTATCGATGACAATCAGGCGGCCTGTAATTGGTGTAAAAAAAAAAATAAAAATAATGCTTGGCTAATTAAAGCAGAAAAGATTGATTTGAAACGCGACTAATAATGCCTCCCTCTTTCTCGTTTGATTTTAGGCGTGAAAAATAAATGTCTTGTGACATTTTGTGGTCCCTCCTCTTGTCTTGAGAGCACTAGAAATTCCAAAGAGAGACAATGTAAAACCCAGAAAGTGTGTTTTCGATGTATTGATCCGACTATTTCATATTACTACCTGGGCTTTTGGTATCGAACGATACTGAAAACCGGTTCCCATACTAGTGTTTAGTTAATACGCTGTATGCCTCACTGTGTGAGGGAGATGTGTAAGGCAACGTCAGGCCTGACTTAAATGTTGCTTTACCAACTTAGTAAAAACAAAATGCAACAAATACATACATAGATATGAATCATTTGGCCCCTGTCTTTTCATGTAAGGCCACCATGAGGTTAACATTTGTAATTATTTTTAGTGAATCTTTCCTTGGCTACAAACAAAGCCCTGGGCCAGCTGCCTGGAGTCATTGATACTGATCATCAACCGTGTCACTATGTAATATCCGCTGGATTAAAGTTGTTGTTTTGTCCTGTTCATTTCAGGCCAAAGACAGAGTTATTCGATCCCAGTTTGCGTGCACGTACAAAGATGAAGAAATGCCACTCAACCGTGTGCTGGAGTTCCCCAGCAGCAGCCAGGTCCCTACCTGTGTGCATCCAGCACCCAAACACCAAACCACCCCAGCTGTGGAGGAAGAGTGCAGCTCTGATGTGGAGGAGACGACCAAAGGTACAGATTCAACCCCCATTTTCTTTTGTGCTTTTCTGCATGTAGAGAAAAGCTCAAGATGTCAACAAGCGGTGCAGCGTTCTCTCTTTGCTGGGTTGGATTTTTTGTTTCCTCTGACGCCACACAGCTGGATTGAGGCCCAGTCACACCTTCTCAGCTCCAGCCTTGAACCCTTCGCAGCCCCTGCCCTGGGACTGGAACTTACCATCAGCCATTAAACCAATCCCCATTCTGTAAAACCTGCTCACACCCACATCTGTAGTAAAAACCCCAAACACTCACTCACACAGTCTTTTTGCCCATTTCCCCTTCTGTCTTTTGTTTCGTGGGAATTCAGGCTCGGCTCCGTCGGGTTACATGACAAATGTTAAATTTCAGCTTCATAGAATAAACACAGCCTGCTTCGAATAGCGGCTGACGTCAGCAATTTCGTCACAACATTTTTCCCTTTTCCCCTCCCCCTTACCAGGTGGTCACAGTTGCTTTTGCTTTGTTTCAATCTTTCCAGCCAAGTCTACCTCTGAATGCCCGAATAAGGAGCAGAGCGGCATGCAGCGGGGGGCTGCTCTCGGGCCAAGAAGTGGAAATGTCCAAAACGGAGATGCAGGCTCTGGCAATAGAAAGAAAACTGTCACTCGGGCGCAGCGAAAGGGCAACAAGAGGAAGCAGGTTGATTCTGACCAACACGGAGGATCGGAGAACGAGCCTCCGGAGAAGAAACAGCTCACTTGTGTCTCGGTCAAAATGCCTGGCAAGAATGTCGGCAAGGCCTCGAGTAAGAAGAAGCTGATAGCTGGACAGGGGAAGCTAACCAGCTTCTTCAGAGTCTAATGGTCGTTTGCACTGGTCATTTATTTTAATGAACACCTTTTGGGATACGCTGTATGCTAAATATGAAGCTAAAAGGTGCTTATATTAGCTTATTCTCACATCAAGCAAAGCTAAACAGCTAGCCTGGCTCTGCTTAACAATATATAAAAAGTTAATTAGTAAAAATTTAAGCTTTAAAATGCTTAAGAGCAGATTTTTTTTTTTTTAAACTTTGGACAGAGTCAGGGAAACAGTTTCTATGCTAAACTAAGCTATCTGGCTAGCAGTAGCATTAAGCATACATTCATTTTTATTGCATAGATTAAACGTGAATACATCTGATAACCGATCATTGGGACATTCGATCAGCACACTTATTCTATCAAGACAAGTCCTACTTGAAATGTATTGAATCGTTAGCTGTATAGTTTATCTATTCAACCTTCAACCAAGTCGACTTTGTAAATAAGATGCACACTTTTCAATTTTAATAAACTTTTATTTTGTTTTACATGTTTGTGATCTCTCATTTTCAACAAGGAAATGCATTTCAGTGTAACACACATATGGGCCCTTTTACAATTTGTAAATAATGATGACGTCATTGTGAGCACCCAGTTTGGCAACTGAAGTACGGCAGACTGCAATTGCTTGTCAAGCTTTGCAGGGGCATTAACCAGCAAAGACGGCTAATGCAACCTAAAAAGGTGGACTTTCCAGATCTGTATGCTATTAGTAAGTGGGTACAATACATTAGCTAGTGGCCAGACATAGACATGTATTTAGGGTAGAAACCTAGCGTGTAATGTTGCACCAGTGAGAAATTAAGGGCATACAAGTCACTAGATGCTTACAACTATACATACAGAATGTAAAATACTGTGACAGACTCAGAATCTAAAATGGGCGCCATTCTGACAACCCAACACGTAACAACCGGACATTTTGAAGCTGCTAACGGTTTTAATTGAATGTTTAAAGCGTGCTAATCGTCTGGGTGGCTCGGGCAAAACGACACTTCCGTTGTTAACACGCACACACATTTTTTCATGTCGGCTGTAAAAAGGTCTGTAAGGAAGAATTTTTTTACAGCACATTCGGGGCTGGATGGCAGGGAAACATTTATACCTGCCAGCAGGGTCGGTACACTCTTCCTATCATACACCGCAACACTAGGAGGAAAGAGAGTGAAGAATACTTGCATTGACAAATATTAAGTAGTTTGATATCACAATCCACTTTATTGGTTGGGTATGTTTATTTATATTAGAGAGGATACTCAACATTTTTTTGGGGTTTGCATACTTACTATCGATGTCGGTGTTTCTGCGTTCAATTTTCAAACTGTGCTCAGCCGGAGTGTAGCTCAAGCTTCGGTCCGTGAGCAGAGGAAGGCTCCAGCTGGCAGCCCGGTTCAGCCCACGGATACTGTGTCCTTTCAGCCCCATGTCCTGCAACACAGTATTGATCAGTGATTACATGCGACACCATGAGACCACACAACTTTCCATACGGCATGATCTGAACTCTGGATCGTCAGCTTTCAAACATTATCTTTTCACTTGCAGCACAGGTGTTGGATCTGTCTTTACCAGCTGATCCAAGCCACAGGAACCCCAAATGGAAGAAATGTGTTTCCCCGTTTTTACGATTTCACAGTGGCCCGTTTTTCTTCCACCTTCTCTCCAACATGGCCGCCTGTTTCCCATTACCGCAGAGATAACCACCATGTTCATGACACACAGGAGACGCAACCGCCAGATAAACTCTTAACGCATCGCAGCCAAACGTTTGAGTGAGCACAGATACATCATCATTCTTCCCACTGTGGTTCCAATAAATCTTTATAGGCTTGTGATCATATGACCTTTCAGCTAATAGTATTTCCCGGCTTTCCAGCGCTGCTGTAAAAGTTTTCATGTGTGTATCAGATATTGACTTAGCAGTCGACACAAGGACGGTGACCAATTGAAAAGGGTCAAATGCTCAGCCACAGGATGGAGATAATGTGCTCTTTGTTGTTGTTGAACGATGGTTAATTGCGGCTGTTTATGGAAAGAGATCTCATACGATGAATAGTTATGGTGCATGACTGTTATTGGCAGAGGTCAACGACTGAAAACTGAGAATCACTTATACAGTACATTTATTTGGGATAACGCAACTAAGAGTAGTCCAAACAGCTGGTAACTTTAGATTGGATTAATATGTTGTTGAGCTCACTACTTTAAAGGGTTGCTTCCCCCAAATAACAAAAGAAAAAAAGTGCCCTGGGTGATACACACCACTAATCAGCAAATGATTTATTAATAAAGGTATTTAAACAAACTTTGAAAACAACAATTGCAATGTGACACTTACTGAGACGATGATGATTTTCGGGCTCCCATCTTCATCCCTCATGTCGTTGTCCAGCACGAGGTCAGTCATGGTCTCACCCCCCAGGAAGAAGCCATCTTGCTCCGGTACGCCGTCTTCTACTTTAGATGCAGGCATGGCGACGCTGACCGAGTGGCTGCTCAGTTCAGAGAACAGCACCAGAGTATACAGGACAGAGTAAACAGAGATCATGATATCTATAATGTTTAGCTCGGCCGTCTTTGACTGATCTTCTCTCACCTAGCGAGTGTTGTGATGGTGCTTTCACCCGTCTTATATATTCAGTGAGAGGAGCATTTTGAACCTAAAACTGTTCAATGTAAGAAAGCGTCATGTCTCCTGCAGGGCTGCATCCATCTCAAAGGCCGAAGGTCACAGGAAGTTTAAAGTCACAGCTGTAATTCCATTAATAGGTGTTCCTTTCATAAATAAGAAGGTGAATGGCTTTATTTTGTCTGTTTAGAGATGTGATGAATTCAAATGGATAAAAGGGGAGAAACACGGAGGGCGGTTTTATTCCACCACATCACAGAGTGGCGTCGAGACGGCCCACAGGAGGTCAAAAGGGCGGGAAATAATTGTGACTCTTTTGCTTCAAAATCCACATGCTGAAATGAACCCAGCAGGCGAGCGGACAGAGACTGGCTGCGTCCCATGAAAGACGTCCATTGAGTGGTCATTTTCTCTGAATGGCATCAGTGGCTGCACATGATGGACCATCAACAAAAGGTCAGTAACATGTATGAACTGGTGACACTAATACAACACACAACATCATGAGTCATTGTGGGAAATCCACTTATTCGTTGTCTTGCTGAGAAGAGTAAACACGCGAACACGCTTGTGATGGTGAACGTGTAACATTACACCTGCTTAACATCGGCATGTTAGCGTGCTGGCGTTAGCGTTTAGCTTAAAGCACTGCTGTGGCAGCCCGTCACCAGGTGTAGACGTTGTACGTTTCTTCAAACCACAGATACGTTGAATGACGACATAATGTAGTCTTGTTGCCTTAACCCAACCAATCGTTACACAACGTTGACAACGTGGCATTGTGTGTTTCTGCAAACGTGATAGTAGGCTGATATAAAACATATTTATGAAATGTATTTTTTGTAAAAGAAATGTTGACATTCAACCAATGCATTCAAACAATGCTGTATAAAAGAAGTAGACTTCACTGTGAAGTCCCCCATTGGTTTGTGGACTACCGGTTTGGAGCCTCGTGTTTGGCATTTTGCCTGTCGCCATCTTGAATTTTGCCCGTCGCCGTTTTGGCTTTTTGCAACCAGAAGTGACACAAGTGGGTGGAGCTAAGTACAACCTAATTCTGACTAAGACATTTTTCAGTGACCAAAGAGGTTATAATGAACTGTCATGAACTGAAGACACGCTGTGAAAGTGTTAAAGTTGTAAAATAAAAACACAGACAACTTCCAGACTGGACAACGCAGAGTAAGCGACATGTCAATCACAAAGTATTGCTGTATTGAAGAAGACTTGAAACTACAGATTAAGACCATAAACTCATGTTTACAATGTTTACTGAGGTAATAAACAAGTGAGAAGTAGAGTCATTTTCTCATAGACTTCTATACAACCATAGAAGTTGCCCCCTGATGGCCAGTAGAAATAAAGCTAGTTAAGGGCACTTCTGCATTGGCTTCATTTTTCAGAAAACGGAGGATTCCATCAGAACGATTCTTGTGGTTGGCAGAAACCAACTACACTACAATGTCACCATTTATTCTTCCAATTTATATAAGATATAATGTGTTTATTGTTGAGCTTTGAGATGCTAAGCCGACAAGAAAGGAAATAAACCTTTTTTCGCCCCAAATGTCTTACTATTCATTTGAAGGAGAATTTGATCTGCCACAGCTCTGTGATCAAGCCTTGATCGTCAAGAACCCACACCATCATCAGCTGAGGATGAAAGGCGGAGGCAAGCATAAACCAAAAGGGCCTTCATGTTGACATAGCTCTACTCGGCTCAAAAGGCTTACCTTATTAACATCACAGGAGCCGTGGCGCAGGAGATGGAGAGCCGGGACATGAATAATAGCTATTGAACTCAGCTGAAGTGATTTAACTTGGAGCGGTCAGCCTTTATTTTGTAAGTATTATTGTTGGAGGGCGAGGACTTCTACTGAAGGACTGAACTTGTCCACAGGGGCACAGCCGTTCCAGCAGAAGCACAACTGAACTTGTGAGCTTCATGCTCTGTTGTTGTAACATTTCTTGCTCTCGCTGTCTTTCTGATAATCTCTCCTTCCCCTTTTTTCCATATTTCTGGCTACATTAATGCGCTCACATGGACAGTAGACAACCTGCAAACCGATGCCACCTGATCCGAAGCTTCCTTGGCACTCACTGAGAAGAATCAATGAACTCTGAGCTGTGGTGAAGGTCTTTATCTGGTAACTGTGATTTCTTTCCCCCGATCTGAATTTCTAAGAAATCATTACCATAATTCTCTAATAAAGAACATTAGCGAAAAAAGCCAACAGTCAAATAATCTTATGAGGACCAGATGTGATTCTGTGGGTATCCATGAACATTATTCACTAAATCTTTATGTTTCCACAACACAGCTCGTCAAATCTTCAACCGATGCCAGTAAAGTTTATTCAACTACTGACGGTGCTGTCGCTGATTTCTGTTTGGTTTTGTTTTGTTGTATGCGTTCGTAATTGCATCCAGATTGGTTTCGGCCTCACGCATGGTTTGAATTTTGAACCTGAGGAAGCTGCGGAGTACTTTTTTTCATCAGCTCTGTCAGCGGCTTGCATCACCTGTCAGCTGCAGTATTTCAATCACACCGCTCACAGCTTTGTGCATAAAGAGGCCTCAGAAGTCTGCACCCTATGACATCAGAAGCATTGTTTTATTATCCCCCGGGGGCCAACACATTATTACAATCATGTATTAACACTCTGCCTTTCATCACCGACACTCGTCTTCTAATAGAAGGAAATAAAAGTGTCACAGCAGAGGGGGGGATGGGCTCCAATGCTCCTCGCATGATATCTGCATGTTTGTGCTGCAGAGTCTTGAGGGCAGCATGCTGCATAAATGCGGGTGCAAACCCACCACATTGCAGGCAGTTTTTTTTGTTTTTTTGTTGTTGTTGCCCAGAGAACAGACCATAGTTTCCTGGAACAATGCAGCTGATGAGAGTCTCTCCAAGGAAAATAAGGCTCTGACATCATGGGTTCTTAAAGCACACAGCTGAGCCAACACTCTCTCCTGCTATAATCAAGCCTCAGTGAATTTCCACTGTCGACTGAAACTGAGAAAGAGGGAGAATGGTTTGGGCACTTTTTTTTCTAACACATGCTTTAATCTGACTGCTAACATTCCCGTTGTAGTGCGAAGCTCGCGGTGCACTTGTTGGACTCTTGTGTCTCTATTTCCTTTTACATCTGGCCTTGGCTTACGGCAAAAATAAAATGTGACATAAGGCTATTTGTGTATTTTTCATGATCAACTCATCGCTAGCCAAGACTGGATGCTAGCCTTCGGATACGAGAATATTTGGGATTAGTGACAACGAATGCTGAGTTGACAACAGCAGGAGCAAAAGTTAAACCCAGCTAAGTGAAGTCCTGTGTGTCCTACTGGAAAAAGAAATGAATGGTTGAAGACTGATGAAGCCTTACAACCACTTTTCCTGTACAACCAGTAGAATAAGTAAAAATTGGTGAGTGTAGTTAAAAAAAGAAGAAGAAAAAAAAGACCACGAGGTCATTCAAAAGACAATTGTGTGCTTAAGATGAGGAGTTGAAGAGTGTGGAGAGATTGTGTTTCAGGGCTCGGTCCAAAGTCTGTGTCCTCAGATGCCCTGGGTTGTGAGTGCACGCAGATCAATGGGAAACGGATTGTGTTCTTTCCAGAACCATCCTGGTTCTTGAGGTTGTTCAAACATCTTTGTGTTGCACTCCATATAATCCAAAGTTAGGACATGAAAGAGCATAAACAGAGCATTTTTAAGACATCCTGGCTTTTGTGTGTTTTAGAATAATTAGAACAGCATGATATTGTACATCCGTAATTGGCTTATTTGTGATGGCTTGGTTACCTGCCACTGCCCAGGCATCTCTCGGCGCACAATTTCTCTCGGATTTATTTGAACTCTAAATCTTGCAAGCTTGCAGCCGGCAATTGGACCATAATTGATTGTGTATTAGTCATAGAGACGGATGAAATAACATCCAGGATGGCCGCTATGACCGGGACCTCGCCGACCTCCCTGCTGCTCCCATTTCGATCTCTGGCGTTTGCTGCATGTCAGCCAGAGAGGCAATATATATCCTGGTTTGATTGTTGTCCCACATACATCCGTTTAAAAACAAACAAAAAAAAGTGCTGACAGTGAGTGAGTTGGAGCTCAAGCTGTCAGTGCGAGCATCCTCCAAAGAGCTGAACATGCAGCTCTGGCCTCGGGGAGCACCACGCCCCCGCTATGTTTGCTTTGGCAGACCCCGCCACCTCTTAGGAAGTATCACTTTGTCATTCAGCACACACTCAGTTTCATACTGCACCATGCACAAAGTTTCAGCTCCAGTTACGGCTTTATCTGGAGTCAAAATGCCTTAAGAGAGACTAACCTCTGCTTTGCAGGTGTCTGCGGTTTGCGTTCCTCATAAAAGTGGTTTACCAGTGCGATGTTGCATATTAGAGGGAGTTTTGTCTTTATAGGATGATGTTTCACAAGAGGTTTTATGAGTGTTTGAATTTCAGAGAGTATTCAACCCTTTAACATTTTGTTATGTTGCAGCCTTATTGCTCGAATCCTTTGCAAATGTATTCAAAAGAATACATTTAAATAACTGACAGTATTCAGGCCCTTAACTCAGTACTTAGTTGAAGCACTTTCGGCGGCCTCGACGCAACCGGCTTTGCACAGCTTTTTTGCAAACTGTTTGCAAACTTCAACTGCACTTTCTCTACAGAGAAGCGTCTGTCTGGCCTCTCTGCCATAAAGACCCAATCGGTGGAGTGTTGCATTGATGGTTGTCCTTCTGGAAGTTTCTCCAATCTCCACACAAGTGCTCAGCCAGAGTGGGTTCTTTGTCACCGCTCTTACTCATCGCCCTTCTCCCCCAATTGCTCAGTTTAACTTTTCTTCCATTTAGGAATTATTGAGAACCTATTGAGAACCAGCAGAATATTTTTTTTCCCCAGAGCTCTGCCTCAACACAATCCTTTCTCCAGGCTCTGCCGGCCAGCTCTGAGGCCTTTATATAAACAGCTGTGAGCCTTTCCAAATCACGTCCAATTAGTTGAATTCACCACAGGTGTCGTCCAATCAAGGTGTAGCGACATAGCAAAGATGATCAAGCGCAGCTGAGTTCAAGTGTCATACCAAAGTGTCTAAATGTCATGTTTCTGTTTTTTATTTGTAAATGAGCAAAATATATATATTGTATGTGCATGCTGCATGACAAAAAAAAAACTCTCCAGACATTTATGTGATGTTGACAAGTGGTTTATTCAGCAGGAATGGTGAACAATTTGTCAGTATTTTTTTTCTACAGAAGGCAATCAAGCACCATAAATAACAGCGCTGTAATCAAACAGTTTCTTGGACAGTGAGCTTCAGGGGAAAGTCTTTGGTTTGTACTGTAAATCTGAAAATCTGGGAGGACCAGAGTTGTTCCACAACCAGCTTCTTTTTCATTTCAGCCGCCAGGTCGACTGATTATACAATTTGTAGACACCAAAGTATCGTCATACAAAAACACACTATTTTTATTGAATGAAAATAGGTTTTAATTCGATAGGGTGGTAACAAATGTTTTGTTTAAAATAAATTAAACTCCTGGCTCATTCTTAAAGTGAGACTATGTAACGTTCTGAGGAAATAACACGTTCTTGCTCTAACAAATGAAAAGTTAAATTCATTAGCAACCAAACGCACCCTTGCTCTGACCAGTAGCTTCCGCAGGCTATTGTTAGCAAACATTTATGCGGCATTTCCACAACTTAACTGGACTCACTCTTTTTGGGTTTTCCACTAGCAAAGGATGTCGATTGTACCTGGTGCGTTTTTAGTACCATTCGTCAAGGTTCCAAGCTAGTTGAGCCAAAACTAGAATTCATTAAAATAGCCAAGCTACCGTCAAAAGCAACTGTAATCTTTTTTTAATCACTGGACACAGTCTTTTTTTTAAAAATGGCCACTCCTAAACTATACCGTACAATTCAGCGTGTTTCACGTAGACTATTTTTTATCAGCAGCTCCCACCGGTATGTTGCTCGGAATTGTGCGAAATTTAAACATAGTATCAATCATGTTTATTTTTTCCTGTGGAATGTGTGGAACAATACATCCATTCATTTAGAAAATCTACCTTTGAATTCTATTTTGCAGCTATTAAAATACGCGGTGTCTTTTTCAAAATTTATTTCGGATGCGTCCAAATAGGCGGGTGTGGAGATAATAAAAAAAAAACTGGGATTATCGACAATCCTGTTTTTGACTTCGAAGGTCGAAATCAAGAGCTCATTCCGATCGATTTACGACGTAGAATCTAAATTGTGACGCCCCTACCGATAACACAAGAACTCTACACAGCTGGACACTATAGCCAACATAGACCGCTGGGCGAAAGCCTTAAAACAATTGCATGAAAAAACCCACATCCTTTGAGTACAGGTTACATATTATTGTTTTTTTACAATTCTCACAGATTTTCTTTTGTTTTTGTCTGAAAAGAGATGATGCACTAAATAGGATATGGAAACACCTTTGCCGAATAAGTTCTGATGTAGCAAATATTTAGCGCCAAATTCTGTAGTCGAGTTTATCCGCTGCACACCAGTTGATGCCTTAATTCGCGTTTTATTTTGCGACGGTTCAAAAGTTCACTTGACGATTGAATAGAAACACAGCTGTTGGTAAAAAATAATGTTGTCCGAGTTAAGAGAATCTTGGAAAATTAAGGCAAATTCAATATTCTATTTTCCTGTAATTACCACTTGTAGCCACAGTTGCCGCTGTTCAGCAATAGTTACGTAGTCTCGCATTAAGTGTTTTTAATAATCAATACCTTGGCTTCCAGCGAGTGCATGTACACACACATCTCAGGACAGACGAAAGCAAACCATGACTTTTGACAATCTCAATACAATTGGAAGAATCACAGTTCACAGTACTTTTGTCAAGTTATTTGGCAGAAGGGATCTATATTGAGAAAATAATTCAAAAACAGTAGAAAAAATAGCGTTTTGCCTTCTTGGGAACACAACTTGGTATTATCTTCTTTTTTTTTATCTCCATGCATTCACAGATTTCACACAGATACATTTACTCGCTTACACTACTACCTTATTGAAACAGCTTACAAATAAAAACACTATTAAAATGGTGGCCACAAGGCTGTGCAAAAGGGAAGACCTCCAATTAAGCCCTGCCATCTGTCTGTCTTAGCCGTCTGTTGCAAGTAACAAACTACAAAATAGCACCATTATACAGTGGATAGGATTCTTAATACAGTTTTGTTATATGAAACCATCATGTACAATGAATGATAGTAATGCATAGGTTAACATAAATGGGAGTACTGTTTGATTATACACAGGCAGAGGCAAAGATGAGATGTCTTGGGTGGTTTGTGCGATAGAAAGATTGTAAATCTGCATGGAGGCTTGAATAAACAGCCGTGACCGTCAGTCCTCATGCAAGGACTTCTCAGAACTGTCTTTTTATGAATCGTGGTTGTGTGCGCTTCACCTTTGCTCACGGTTACACAACTGTCATTTACACTGTGGGTGCTTTGTATGTGTGTGTGTGTGTTCTGTTATATGTGTCCCGTATCTCATATCTCCCGGAAGACTTGTCATTTTGGTTTGCAATATTTACCAAATCTGTCTAATCTGCATGTTTCTCTGGTGGACTTTGCAACAGATTGCTGTGGAGTTTTGTTGTACTGTTGCCATGATGCCACGTGATGCAGACAAGCAACAACTGCAGTAGCAAAGTTCACAGCCTCCCTAAACTAACAAAAATACAAACAATCGATCAATCAAATGTTAAACTTCCCATCTAGTGGCAACTCTTAGAGCCTCTCCTTTTGCTTCAAACTTTGGGAACATATTGTAAATTCTTTAAGAGAACAAGAAAAATATTTGACTCTTTTTAGAGCGCTTGTTGACTTGCCGTGACTAGACTTTTACGACTTGCGCTTAACCTTGAACACAGGCCTCCACTCAGACTCAAATGTTGGTCACCGGTTACTGGATTGTTGACAAACGGCTTTGTGACCCATTTGTTGCTGTTTGACTAATTCCACTGGTTTATGCCAAATGTACTTTGACTCTACCGAAATACCCATTTCTGACAACTAAACATGCACCATGAACTGATGGGCCGAAAAAAACCTTAATTCAATTTAGCTTCTGGTTTATAAGTTTGTCTTGTTTTTGTACTTCCCACCTTCCCGAAAATCCCCTCTAATGGTGTTTGATCTGTTGTTGTAGAAGTGTTTGGATCGTAAACTCAATCCCCAGGCTCTCAACACTTCCTGAGGTTTAAGAGGGGTTTGGATTGGACTCAAACCTTTATGGGACTCCACTTCGGGAGTTAATGAAACTTAGGGATTTGACTTAAGCTCAAGGTAAAATAACTAAAACAATGTTTAAATCTGATAATGAACGGCCTGGTCTTTGTCCTTTAAAGCAAACCTTGTTTTACTTATGACAAACTGGGGTAGTAACTGTAATCGGGGACCGGTGACAGAGTCTCCTGTCTTACCAAAGGAGTGAATGAATCCACTCTCTCAGAGTAAAAAGATTTACCCCCTGCAAAGTTCAGGGGACAGGACACTCATTCTCAAACACAGCCTGCTGCTCTCTGATTGGCTGGAGCCCAGATGCATTTCCCACCTTTCCTGGAGCCAGGGGATGCTGCAGCTCACACTTGGAGGTATAATAAGCTCTTGTTCGTGTCTCAGCAGCTAAACTAGTCTGTTACTTTGCATTTACAAAGAATTCCTCCCGATATGGAATGGTGCAGTGTATAAAATAATCACAAGATCCCTCATCAAACCCTTAAACATCACTTAGCTCTCAGGTTTCAATCATTTTGAAGAGCTTTTAGAACATTTGCTAGCATCTTCTTTGTTTTGTTTTACAGTGAACCATTCCACAGGGGTACCAGGTAAGGCCACTCCCTTCTCTCTTCCCAAGTCGCTGGGCATTTGTCCATTCGCTCCTTCCCTACATTCGGTAATTTCTGCCCCCCGTGTTGCCTCGACTTGAGTTTTTCTGTTGCACGTCCTGCAATAAAAGAAAAGCACATTTTAGCCATGTAGCGGAGACACAGATAGACATTTTGCAAGCTTTGGTAAATATTTGGGGGGAAAAAATTGCGTTGTTTGGATGGTGAAAGTAAAACTTGGTCACCTAGGTAATTGCTTCTGAAATTACAATTCCTGTTTGCCTAGTTTGAGCATCAAATATTTTTCAGCAGCTACGCTTTCGACATGCAATGAAAGTTAGCTGCAACGCTGCCTCTCAAATGCCAGTCACTGCAAAGCTAACCGTCCACCCACAGGCTCAAAGCCTTAGATGCTGTTTCCTCAAAAACTGGTATGTCCAAAAATATCTTCTTTGGAGAAAAATGAAAATATAGAAAACACACAGATTCCTATTTCAGTTTTTACATAAAGAGAAAAATGTGAGGAGGATTCCTATCAGTTAAAGGAGTTGAGTGGTGGAGAAGCCACTGCACACGGAGATACACTGAACGTGATACGCTCGCTTCATCTCCGGACCTTGCATGTGTCTGTTGTGGTGAGACGCCAGAATTTCAGCACATAATGTACAGCAGCAGAGTGGAGATTCTGCCTGGGGAGCGGGAGTGCCACTGGGTCTACCACAAAAACCACTTAGTTCCTTCTCTTGCTAATGGTTTTCTTTTTTGAGAGAAGGGTAAAAAGCACACGGTCGAATCTTAAAAGGATCACACTCTCCTGCAGGTTGGCAACTCGAGGATGAAACAGAGTCTCCATTTAGACCTCACGCTTTCTTTCGTTGGCCGAGATTTTAAGATTTCGGAACAAATTCAAATGAATCCCTCTCATTTCAAAATAAATACTCTTCTTTTGAAACTCTTGAGAATGTCAGAGTGGAGATCGTATGGTTTATAGAGGTTTAAATGACTAGACGAATCAAAAATGACAATAAAATGAAATAAAGTGTCCAGTGGCATGCATACCTTGAAGGATGAATGACTATGTCCAGGTAAAGGTCTCTGTGGGAAGAAAATGAAGCCACTTAAGTTGGATGGATTCATTTGTCTTGTTATACAGTGATATACTGCTTGCAAACCCTATTATAGAGTGGAAAGAGGGTTAAACTGCTAGCCTTGGTCTATCAGAAAGTGCCCAGCGTTTTTTCGTTTTATTAAGTAGTGAGCTTTGGCTAGCCCGGCTCTGTCCGCAACAAAATCAAACATAAAGCTCACAAATAAACACATTCTATCTTGTTTGTTTAATCCATATAAAACTGTATGTAAAAATGAAAAGTTAAAGTTAAATGTAGTTTAACGGAGGGTTATGTGCAAGACTATTTCTTGGCTGGGCACCTGTGGTCAAAGCTAGTCTACCTGATTGGTGCCATGACATTGTTTCAACAGCCCATTACTCCAAAACCCCAACCTTTGGATGAAAAGCCCATTTGTCCAACAGCTGGTTATCCTGAACACAAACGCCCCGAAAATACAAACTCTTAGCAGCACATGGCTAACTATTATTCCCTGAAACTAGCAACTGAGACCATAAACTAGTGTTTACAATGTTTACTGAGGTAGTAAATCAAGTGAGAAGTAGAGCAATTTTTTCATAGACTTCTATACAATCAGACTTGTTTCTGCAACCGGGGGAGTCGCCTCCTGCTGGTCAGTAGAGAGAATGCAAGTTCAAGACACTTCCGCATTGGCTTCACTTGGCCGAACCGGAGGTTGCCGCCTGGTTGCAACCTACTCTGGTTGGCGTACCCTAAACCTAACTAATCCCACTCCTCATACCTAAACCTCACCAGCCCAACCATATAAGAGGCAACAAATCGGTAAGTCTCAATGATGTAATTCTGCTTAATAATTAGCCATGTGCTTCTGATTGCTGCAGAGAGTTTGATTTTTTGGATCAATGGGCCTTCTGAACATTGAGCGTTTGTTCTTGGGATAAGGGGCTTTCGGTCCAATGGGACGCTTTTTGGACTGTTGGGGTTTTGGAATAATGGACGGTTTGAAAAATGGGCAATCCCCCAACTGATCCCCAACTGAATCTTCATGCCAAGCTAACATCTAACCCTTGGCAAGAAAACAAATGTCAACAATTTCTCAGGATAGTTTGTGTGCATGCTCTGACAAAAGCTACCAAAATATCAATCCTTTTCTCGTTACTCTTACATATTTCCTGATGAGTAAATCTTTTTTTTTTGAGTGTATCTGTTTGGTGCTGTGCTCACCTTCTTGTTTTTTGTCTTGTCTGGCTCCTGTGCTGTCCTACGCTCTGTGCTCTTGTCCGCTTTGTGCCCTGCGGTACTAACCTTAGGTGCTCTCGGCATGTCTGTGTGGCGCTGTGCACGCACAGAGCGAGCAGCCTTGCTAGTCTTGGGAGGTGCACAGTACATCTCCAGGCGCCGCAGCTCACAGCTTTGGAAGCAGCACTCGTCCACAATGCCGCGTGACCGCCGTGCATTGGGGCCATAGCCTGGTTTACCTGTTTAGGAGGAACAGCAAGAGGAGGGGTTAGTTTTGGCAACAAGTCTGGAACAAAGTTCCTTTTCTCCGGATCTGCAGGAAAATGCCATTTCAGTGTCATAATGTTCGGAAGATCTGTGACTAGTCAAAAGTGGGTCCGATATAAACTTAGCTGACAACGGAGTGAAAGAATCGTCTGTCTTCAAAGAATCTGTCTTCACATTCACTTCTCTCATTGGAGTTAATAGACTCAAGACCTGCAGCTGGTGTCCTACAGGGGCGGGGCAGTGACAAAACACGTGAACTCTATTTAGCCAAGAGGCAATAAAATGTATGCAAATCAGATTTTTGATCCGACATTCTTTTCTACATTTGCTTTATATCTGTTAGCAGTGTTAATCTGTTAGCAGTGGCGTCATATAGCAGTGACTATATGACGCCAGTAGAGGTGAGGTGGAGATGTTGTCGTCTATGTTATCGCTGAAAAAAATGGGCAAAAGATTAGTTGAAGGTGTGATCAGCTTGTTGAGTCAGTAACCACATCAAGTTACTCAACTCCCTTACACCCCAAAACCCACCCTCTTTTGGTGGCCTTTAGAAAAACGCAGTCTTCATTAACAATTCCCTGCTCACCTTGAGCAATATAGCGTTGATGGACTTTTCCCTGTTACCAAATAAAATAATAATAATTTAATATGGCATTTACAAGGAGGAAATGCCTTTCCCTCTCTGAGTTCATAGCTCTTGGCTCAGAAGCCTGCCAGTGCTGACAAAGTGCATTAACTTCTGCTCTCTGCCTGCTTTGTCCTGACAATGCTGTTCTGGACAGAGAGCAGTTTTTATTCAGAAACGGCATCTTTCTCCTCGGACACAAAGCTAGAGTGGAAGATAATGGAGGTGTGAATGAGAGGGAGGAACTGGGGGAGGCTTTCATGTTGCACATCAGGTAAGAATGATGCTAGAAATACACCGTGCACCTGCATTATTTAGGCAGCAGAAGAACCACATTCACCCAGATCTCAAACTGACGAAAAGGGGATGTGTTAAATAAAATGGGTAGATGAGAACATTTTTTTGGCATTTGCATTTGTATTAATTTCAGCTACACCTTTCATGGCCAGGTATTACACCTACTAATTATTTCTTTTCAGTCATCTGAACAAACAAGCTTTTTCTTCCCTGCGGTGAGTATCATCAGTGGGCCCAGCCTTGGCTGCTGTACTACCGCCTGATATCAAGTAATGTAGAAAGAGAGAAATATGACATTCGGCCCTGGCCGGGGATTATATAATGGCTGCTGAAAGCCAAAAGAGCCTGGCCTGTTTTTTCAATCCCTCCCAATAAAGCCTTTACAAATTAACATCCGCTATTATTCTGAAAATAGCTTGCAACCCTGCTGCACAAACAGCTGGAAGGGAGAGAAAAATCAGCTGGCACCGGTTGTAACATGTAGGATAATCAGCTCGGGCAGGTTTGGGAAAAAATATATAATAATCAGGTCTAAAAGCATTGGAAGGTTTTAAATGCTTCAATTCCATGGATAGCTGCTGTAATCCCTCATAAAGAGTTGTTTTCTGTTAAACAAATAAGGGTAAATAACTTTTTCTGCCAGTGCTTCCCGCCTCTCTCACATTTCATAGTACGTTCTTGTTCAGACGAATGCATTTACATTGCAGTCAGTTGAGACTACATGGCGTACAAATTACATGCAAAACGTAAGACCGCCTTTCTCATAGCATGCAAAAGGACTCATACATTGTCTTGTCGTTCATGCGCCAATTGATGAGAGCGGGCTGGTCTGTGTTCTTTCTATGGACGTCAAAACGTCCATAGAAACCTGTCCAAGCTCTTTTGTAGCATATTCACTATCTCCAGTCTTTATCTGCATGTTTCAAACACTAATAGTTTCTAGGATAGTAAATGCACTACTTCTTTTACTGTACATATTCAAAGTTACAAAGCACCACCACGAGTGGCATATTTAAGTGACATAAAGACGAATCAAGAGTCCAACAAGGTTGCAGTTTCTATGGGTATATTGACATGTTCTGACATATTTTATGTTGCGTAGCTCTCCGTTGCCTTTCCAATAAATGTGTATCTGCAGTGAATCCAAGCTGACTACAGCCGCCGTCCGAGCAGGCTACGAACTCTTCAGAACCACCTTTCAAGTGCTTGATACTCCACAAAATATTCCTTTGGAGTGCAGCGCTAGCACCCTTCTTCACAGAAAACTAGTCTTCAACCTGTCAAATGAAGTGTTGACTAAGTGTTTCATCTGATGCCACCGCGCAGCTCCACGTAGCATCTTTTGGTTTGGTGTTTGAGAGCCTCAGCACACATAGCGTTCATTCCTCCAAGGAGCGGCACTGATGGCTGGATTCCCCCATTCCAGAGTGACACAGAAAGCATCTGAGTTTTACAGCTTGGTCATGGTCAATAAAAAGCAGTGGATTCTTGGAGCCTGCGCACTGCTCTTCCTGCGAAGTGTCAAGCAGTTTACGGCTGGGCAGGGACTGTAAGAGCTGCTAAAGTACTGGAAACTACCTCTTTATCACTGGTACCACAAAGAGTTTATGGCAGGAGTGAGGTGTTCCTCACTTTACGGCGCCACTGGAAGACAATGAACTAGATTTAAGTGTCACACCATCAATGTAGAAACGAGAGTGATTGGAAAGGGTTTACACATGCCATGGTGTTCTTTAACTAAACGAATAAAGGAATCGAGGGGAGTTTTTATCTATTTTTCTTGGTGTTCGAAACACATAGTTTTGGGTTTTATTGACAGGTGAGTAGGATCAAAAGCTCCAGACAGTAAAGGAACCAAAAAATCCTCGACGTGTACCTAATAAAGATAATAGATCTGAGGTTAATTCTGTGCGAAACAACGCAGTGTGCCTGGATTCTTTGGTGGCCAATAGGTATCAATCATAAGATATGTTAGCCTGTGGTTAGACAGTGCTGCCTGCTGTCATCGTGTCTGTTTTTGCTGAATTATTGGTAATAGAGTGAGTACAAGTGATGAATAGTACGCAGGATTCTTTGGTTCCTTTACAACTGGAATAAGAAATGAAAGAAAATGTATGAGACTGCCTATGATGAAGAAGAAAGAACGCCAGAAAGGTCCAAGATATCAACTGTAAACCTTGAAGATCTCTGCACTAATGCACTCTTTGTGGGGGTCCTATGGATTAAACTGATGAAGGGTTTCAAAAGGTAAAGTACTGGTTGGTGTCCTCAAATCCCTCGTGTCTCAGATTCAGCTAATGTACAGATCGCCTGCCTGTCCTTTTCATGAGATGCCTCTTTGTTCCGCTGAGCAGTAATTCACAGAAGGGTCGGAGAGTTTTTTAGTTCAGGTCTTAATGGGAAAACGACACCTTTTCTCAGTGATGAAGCGGACACAGGAGGGCTTTCTTCAGATCTCAGTGCCTTCCGCTGTGTGTTCAGGTCCAGTGTAAAACTAGGGAGGGAGGGGTGGGGGTGTCCTGATCATCCTGTAATCCACATAATCCCCTGCTGCTGAGGGACAATGCCAAACTATGCGTGTGTTTGAGTGTGTGCATGTGTGCGTGCATGCCTGTGACGTGGTGTTTGCACATTCTACCTCCCTGCAGCTCCCGTGGGTTTGAATAAAATTGACAGGGACAAACACTGATGAGGAAGTCTCATCATTGGCTGCTAAAAGCAATTTTCCCTTTTCCTTTCCACCTCACATGCCATCAGTACAAGCCAAAACATCTAAAAAACATATACCACATTTCATATTTGGTGGAACTTTGTGTACCAACAATTAGCTCCTGGGCCAGAAATGACGGATTGTTCCATCTTGTCGTAATTCAGGAGAATTACGCTCTCACTCTAGAATAAATGTGAATATTTCAGCAAGAACTGATAAAATATGAAGTGACTTAGGACTGGGAGCCACTTAGCACTCACACTTTGGCCAAAAAACTCCCATAACAGATCTGATTCATGGAATGAACATCGCAGTGAAATCACCCTACGGTCCTGCCTGCTAAAGCGTTACAAAGACAACTGAGGATTTCTAGGTCAGGCTAATAATTGGAAAAACTGACTCCAGTGGTATTTCTTTCTGTTTCATAGAGTGCAGTTTGTTTCATTGCCTTAAAAAAAAAAGAAAAATTTCCACCAACTAGTATTTAGCATTTCTGTCAGGGTTGGAAACCTTCAGTCTTAAAATGCAAGTGTGCGACTTTACTGATGACATACAGTATGTAAGGTGGATTGGCAAAAGCACCGTCAGCACAGAAAGCCCACTGCCGTTGCAACACTTTTCTCTGGACACATTATCAATCAGAGGGCTGCCAAGTGCAACACGGCCAGACTGGAGAGGAAGAGTTCAGGGAAAGGAGCACGCCTCCTTTGGCCAAGCTTTCTAGGCCACCGGGTCACATGGACGACAGAAACGAAATGAATTCTCCAGATATCGTCGTGCAAACAGCCACCGGTGAATGTGGCGACTGAAGGAGAGGAGACGGAAAAGGAATGACAGAGAGAATATGAGAGAGCGAAGTGAAACAGAAGGAAGACCGGGAGCAACATATTTTCCAAGGCGCTGCACCCTGCTGCTCAAACCTCATCTTCTTTTCAGAAAAAAAAGGGATGGAGTGTTCGTGAAATACACCTCTTTTTCAACACAGGAAAATGTGGCATTGATAGATGGACGCTGTGCAGTTCAGTGACTGCACAGCGTAAGGTAATGCGGGAAAGACAAACATGTTCCCCGTACCACAAAAAGGTCTGTTCCTGTTTAAGAAGTCTATCCTGCAGGAGGATTCATGTGTTACATTGGCCTCCATTCAACACTTTCTCATGAGATGAATATGGACAGTAGTGCCGCACTTCTATAGCCTGTGAGAAACATTTACAAAGCTGTAGTAAAACTCTGCTATGAGTAGCCAACTCTTTGTCACATTTTCACATTGTCCGATCTCTGGACACCCTCAAACCTTATCAAAATCTTGAACATTTTCATTGGCTTTAAGTTACAGCTGCAGACTGCTTGGGAACATTTTACAAACCTTTAAACTGACATACTAATCATGAACTAATTGCAATCACCACCTAAGAAGAGAATGTCTTGTTGGTGTTAAAGATTTGATCCGTGCATCACATGCTAAATGCGATGCATGATTTACTCAAAAGCTGTTGTGACCACGTAGTCCACGATCTTCCGCCGTCTCTCAGCCTAAATGAAGAGAACATGGTCATTTATGCAAGCGAAGTGCTGCAGCAGAGGGAATCCAGAGACCAAAAAGTCTTAACTGGCAGAAACCTGGCAATCGAGCGGGCTGTCACGACCACTTCACACAATGTGGGTGCTGCCAGCAGCATCTGGACGAACAAGACTCGCAGCTTTGCAGCAGCTTGGTGGCTCTCCAACAAACTCTCTGGCAAATGCCGTACAAAGGGCCCGATGCAGAGAATGATGTTGACTGGTGCTGGAAAAGCTGCATGAAGGGGTGGAAGAATTTTGCAGTGGGGTGGTGGGGAGCAGCAGCAAGGTGCATGGTCACACGACCTCCAGACAGAACATCGATATTGGATAATTCTGCAAAAAACTTTGGATGACGCTCAATGACATTTTGGAATGGTTCATGCCAACCGCTTTACAGTATTTCTACAACGTCTGTGCATGAAAACCACAATAACGTAGGACATAGTTATGGTTAGGAAACACTTGATGAAGGTCAGGGAGAAGGTTCGGTGTTAGGGTTGGAGTGTGACTGGACACAAACTGGTAACATCGTTCCAATTCTCACACCCTTACTTTCCGTCACATGCCTGCAATTAATGTTCCTTTCCTTAACCATACGTTGTCATGCAAAGAAAAAAACTTTTTAAACATAGACATTGAATGTTAAAAAACTGGGTTTTGTTCGCTGTCTCGTAAAAGGATGCTTTGTTGGTACCATGAGCAGGTGTTAAAGGCTGATGTTCAAGTTCAAATCCCCCCGAAATCTTTGCAGTGGCTTTTTGTTTCTTCAAACATCAAGTAAGGTGCTCACGGAGTAAAGTGAACAGACGGTTCATGGGAGGATTGGACTAAGAAGCCAGTCACACGAAGATGACCAAGAATCAAGAGAGACACATGGAGGCATGTATAGTTTGCGTCAAAATGGGCAGCGGATGATATAGAGCATCAAAGCCAAGGATAAACTGCAGAGTGGGCTTTAAAATGGCGATAGATCCAGTGGATAAAACCATTGGATGGATGAGATTTTGTACGAATATTTATGGTCCAACAGAGGATGAATCCTAATGACTTGTTCTCTCTCTTCATAAAGGCTACATGGGCCACTACTACATTATTCCACTGCTGTACTGAGGCTGGGATTCAAAGATAAAGTCCCCCTCCGGCCCCTATAATCCTCCATCCGTCACCAAGTTCTCAAGAAGGTGTATCTACAAACCACTCCAGGTTCAGGTTGAGGCGAAAGCAATCAATTACTGGGAAAGAGAACACTATAGATCCTGCTGATTTCCCACAGAAATCTTATATCTTCTTTTCTTTTTGAAATTGGCAGCTGACAAAGTCCACCACATGTGGAAAAGCTTTCATAACTTTGGGACCAAAACCAAACCAATAATAATGGATGCTATGTCAAAACGGCACAGGAGTCACCGGGACAATCAATTCATCTAGAAATCTTCAAATGACTTTTGGGGAGATGCGATGCGAATTGGCTTAATTGGTGGATGTCAGCCAAAGAAATGTGAATAATGGGGTTATAAACCTCAGCTCGGTTGGGTCGGAGCCAGCTATACTGTACAGTCACACTGCTCGTCTCTGACAGAAGGATCAGGATACATGTCCGGAGAAACACTGGCAGCCAATGGAGCATTGCACCTAACCTCTGTAGCTCCATCCTGTGCTGTTCTGGGCTGGTTTGTACCCTTAATGGAAAAATCTGAGATTTAAATCCTGGATTGTTTGTGGAGGGTTTTCTTTGGGTCACTTTCCCTTCTCTGGTGGAAAAAAAGTGAAAAAACTTCACTGCAACATTTAGTTTCTGCCCCTCCTCTTTCTCAGAGATAGTGAGCCAATTTCCACTTAAAGCCCTTTGCCACCAGCAGAATAGTTCATTATCAGTATTCCATATTTCATTTAGGTTTGCTTGTTCAAAATCTGGGCTCCTGTCCATCAATGAGAGTGGGGCATTAAAACAAATGTGCAGGGATGAATGTGAACTTAAAGAGAAGATGTAAGAGGAATGAATGGAAGAAGAAAGGGAACATTGATGCAGGAGAAAGTCAAGACGAGATGTCAAACAGGCTGCTTTTTTATTTATGAGCTCGCTGGAGGTGGAGAGCTCTGGGACAGATACAGCCAACCTTTATGAATTAATAAAAAGGTGCACTTACTGAAATAAAAGCCTCTCTCTCCACACACAAACTGCAGCGTGTCGACCAGCTCCGCCCCGCACAGGGTCTCTGGACCCGCCCCTGTTGCCGTCGGAGTCAGGGTGAGGACGCACAGCAGTAGTGAGAGGGTGTGGCTACAGGAGATACAGCACATCGCACTCTGCAGCACAGGGACAGGGAGAGAGAGAGAGAGAGAGAGAGAGAGAGAGAGAGAGAGAGAGAGAG